TCCTCTTTATTTGGGATCTCAAAGCCTAATCCTATTAAGTATTTCACCACACTGCATTTAAGTATCTTTCTAAATATCACTGTTTCCCTCACCTTAGACTGCTGGGCACACAGCAGATGTTCAACAATGGTTCTTGAGAATCAAAACTGAATGAAAGAGGCCGGCACCGCGGCTCAATAGGCTGGCTAATCCTCCGCCTTGCGGCGCTGGCACACCGGGTTCTAGTCCTGGTCGGGGCACCGGATTCTGTCCCGGTTGCCCCTCTTCCAGGCCAGCTCTCTGCTGTGGCCCGGGAGTGCAGTGGAGGATGGCCCAAGTGCTTGGGCCCTGCACCCACATGGGAGACCAGGAGAAGCACCTGGCTCCTGCCTTCGGATCAGCGCGGTGTGCCGGCAGTGGCGGCCATTGGAGGGTGTTCCAACGGCAAAGGAAGACCTTTCTCTCTGTCTCTCTCTCTCACTGTCCACTCTGCCTGTCAAAAATAAAAAATAAATAATGAATGAAAGAATAAATAACTGTTCTGCTCATGCCTCTGGAGACTCAAATTACTGCAAGTACTGTCCTACATAAGTCAGGAGATCAACTTACTTCCATGATTCATATCCCAAGTTCTTTTGTATACTTTCACTCCTACACTTTGTTCTTTTACAGAATAATTAAGGCTTCTTACAATAAAGGTCATCAGGTACAACTGATGTAAGTTTTACCAAAGTAAGTAACTTACTAAAGTAAGTTTACTAAAGTAAGTTTTACTAAATACTATGTCAAACTTCGAGAAACAAAGATCTTACCAATTTCTGTTTTAAAATAACTAACAAGGGGAAAGTAGGGAGAAAATGACAGAACACTAAATATGAAGAAATTACAGCAAAGACTTGTCAATTTCACTAAAATGAGCCAGCTGGCATAATTTGTCAGCTTTAACTTATCTGCAAAAGTGATACCATAGTAATTTAGTCTGAGTCCCCAAATATCAGGACCTATGCTTCATTCACACTTTAGTTAGAAAGTGGCTTAAGAAAGGGTCTAACAAATGTTTTCTCAATTCAGCTGCAAAATTTCACATTTAAATTTTTAATAAGAGAAATAAGTTAAAAATCCAACACATAATAAACTAATTAGCAGTACTCACGTTCTAATAAAAGCAAATACTTTATCATTTTAATATTTTCATGCCATATTTGAAAAGCAGGTAAATATTGGTTGATTCACAACCAAATATTGAGATCAACGTAAGGATTTTAGGACCTTAGTAACAATTAGGTGGGAAAGAGGTCTCCAGTTCAAAAGACTGGAGAATCTTTAAAAGCAGATAACTCGATTTATTTACCATGGCAACAATTCCTGGGCTGTTAATATAATCCATAAGAATTATATAATATATATATATATATATAATATAGTAAATTTGCCTATGATCAAATGAGTATCATATGAGAGAGTATCATATGAGAACAGTATATACAAACCCTGAGAAATACATCTTTAGATAATTATAAAGTTGCTCAAAATCAAATGGTATGCTTTATTTTTGTTTTGTTCTTTTTTTTTTTTTAAGATTTATTTTATTTATTCGATAGACAGAGTCACAGAGAGAGGTAGACAGAGAGGTCTTCCATCCACTGGTTCACTTCCCAGATGGCCTCAATGGCCGGAGCTACACCAATCCAAGGCCAGGAGCCAGGAGCTTCTTCCGGGTCTCCCACGTGGGTGCAGGGACCCAAAGACCTGGGACATCCCCTACTACTATCCCAGGCCATAGCAGAGAGCTGGATTGGAAGAGGAGCATTGAGGACTAGAACCAGCGCCCATATGGGATACCTGCATCTCAGAACAGGGTGTTAACCCACTGAGCCACAGCGCTGGCCCTCACAGTATGCTTTTAAGTTAAAACTTGATATTTTATTTTAAAAAGTTTATGAGGAACTCCAGCACACCAATGATAAGAATATAAATTAGTCATTAGGGAAACAATTTAGAAGTTCCTCAAAAAATGACACAGAACTACCATGTGATTTAGCAGTCCCAATACTGATTATTTATCCAAAGGAAATGCATATCAAGGAGCTATCTGGACTCTCATGTTTAAAGCAGCATTACTGACAATTACCAAGATATGAAATCACTGAAGTGCCCATCAATGGTTAAACGGAGAGAGAGAGTGCACACACACGTATGTATATGGAATATTATTTAGATCGTAAGAAGATGGAAGTCTTGTAATTTGCAACACCATGAACATTACATTAAGTGAAATAACCAGGGCAGAAAGACAAATAATCCACGATCTCACTTATATATGGATTCTAAAAAAAAAGGTAATTTCATAGAAACATAAAGTAAAATGGCAGCTACCAGGGGATGGTGTGTAATGGAGAGTAAACTGGGGTATGCTGGTCAAAGGGTGCAAAATTTGTTTTAGACAGAAGGTGTAAGTTCAAGAGAGCTATTATACAGCATGGTGACTATGTTAATTACAATGTATGGTAATCCGGAAAATTGCTGAGTATATTCAAAGTGTTCCACCACAAAAAATAAGACCAGTATATGAGACAATGCTAACAAAATCAGGGGGTATCAAGTGTGATTTCCTAATCTCTATATATTTTTATGGATTTAGAAGAAATTAAGCAAACACAACAGGATTTATACCTAATTTAAAAAATTACCAAACTACTTTCTGAGACTTTCATTACATATATAAGGGGACTTCAAAAGGTCTGTGGAAAATAGAATTAAAAGATAGAAACAAAAATATAGACCTTATTTCTCAACCTAAGTTCCATCAAACTCAAGACACAATATTTTAAGTGGTGACAACCAGCCATTTAGTCCATCTCTAAAGAAATGAGAGTCCTAGAAATTTAACCAGGTAAATGCAGTCTTTTGTACATCAGTATCTGAACAGGTGTCCTTAAAAGATTTTTTTAATATTACAAAACAAATAGAAGTTACAAGGAAGGTGAATGCCAAATGATACCCTTCAAAACCCTCACAAAATTGCTTGTTTGATAAGAGGAATGAAATGAGCATTGCTGGCCGGCGCCGCAGCTCACTAGGCTAATCCTCCACCTTGTGGTGCCGGCACACCGGGTTCTAGTCCTAGTCGGGGCGCCGGATTCTGTCCCGGTTGCCCCTCTTCCAGGCCAGCTCTCTGCTGTGGCCCGGGAGTGCAGTGGAGGATGGCCCAAGTGCTTGGGCCCTGCACCCCATGGGAGACCAGGAGAAGTACCTGGCTCCTGCCATTGATCAGCACGGTGCGCCGGCCGCAGCGGCCACTGGAGGGTGAACCAACGGCAAAAGGAAGACCTTTCTCTGTGTCTCTCTCTCTCACTGTCCACTCTGTCAAAAAAAAAAAAAAAAAAAAAAAAAAAAAAAGAGTCCTTCACTACAGCAATGCTTTTATCTCTGGCATTTTTCTGTTAAAAGATTTTGCAGCCATTCTCAAAACACTCTCCAGTAAGTAGATGTTATAATTTTTTTGGCCCTCCAGAAAGTCAACAAGAAAAATGCCCTCAGCATCTCAAAAAACTGTTGCCAAAAACACTGCCCATCTGTATTGGCATTGACTGGACATTTCGACCTCTTGGTAGGAGTGCTTTGATGGGACTTTGTTTTTAGGATCATGCATATAGCTTTATCATAAATATAGCTTTAGCTATATTTCATCTCCTGTTACAATTCTTACAGGAAATGCATTAAGATCTTGATATCACTTATTTAAAATTTCCATTGACAGCTTTGCTCATCTTCAGCTGACTGGGGAGCTTCTGACATCCAATGAATAGAAAATTTGTTCCATTTTAATTTTTCAGTTCGAATTGTTGAAGCCAAGCCAACTGAGATATCTATAGAGTTGGTTATATTTGTTTCTGCTGTTAATTGTTGGTCCTCTTCAATTACTGCACAAAAAATTAATTTTTTTCTTGCAAATTGATATGGATAGTTTGTCACTATGAGCTTCAACTCCAGTACTGACTAGTCTCTTCTTAAAGCAAGTTATCCATTTTTAGACTGCTGATTTCCTTCTCTAGGTTACTGTCCCCAGAAACTTTTCATAGAGCATCAATGATTTCACCATTCTGTGTTTGTCCTTGCTTCAGTTATAGCTTTAAAATATATTTATTTATCCGAAAGGGAGAGTTAGAGAGAGAGAGATCTATCTGCTGGTTCACTCCCCAAATAGTGCAACGGCCAGAGCTGGGCTGATCTGAAGCCAGGAGCCTGGAGTTTCCTCTGGGTCTCCCACAGAGATGCAGGGCTCAAGCACTTGGGGCATTTTCCATTGCTTTCCCAGGCCATAGCAGAGAGCTGAATAGAAGTGGAATAGTTGGGACTCGAACCAGCACCCACTTGGGATGCTGGAGCTGCAGATGGCAGCTTTACCTTATCCCTCTTTTCGTACTGATGTCTTATCCCTCCTAGTGTCTCAAAACTAGATCCCATAGGCTGGCGCCGTGGCTCAATAGGCTAATCCTCCACCTTGCGGCGCCGGCACACCGGGTTCTAGTCCCGGTTGGGGCGCCGGATTCTGTCCCGGTTGCCCCTCTTCCAGGCCAGCTCTCTGCTGTGGCCACGGAGTGCAGTGGAGGATGGCCCAGGTGCTTGGGCCCTGCACCCCATGGGAGACCAGGAAAAGCACCTGGATCCTGGCTCCTGCCATCGGATCAGCGCGGTGCGCCGGCTGCAGCGGCGGCCATTGGAGGGTGAACCAACGGCAAAGGAAGACCTTTCTCTCTGACTCTCTCTCTCTCACTGTCCACTCTGCCTGTCAAAAAAAAAAAAAAAAAAAAAAAAAAAAAAAAAAAAAGTTAGTATGAGTTCATTTTGGTGCAAAAAAAAAAATGAAGTCTATGCACAGTGTCTGCATAATACATGTTTTAATACATTCTATATGTATACCAGTGTATAAATGCTCTTAAATGGCCCAATGTATATTGGAGTGCCTAATTATATAACATAAATGATATTTTAGTAATTTACAAAACCAGAATACCCACCTGATTATCTGAGAGCCACATAGCTGTCAACTGCTGTAACTTTGTAAAGCTAAAGGGCAGATTCTTTAATCTGTAGGGAAAAATATAAAAAAATTAAATTTTAAAATTAATGAGAGCTGAATCTAGTGGTCTTCTGAACAATGCTGTAAATCTGCATATGAAACCAGGATAAAAAGGTCTTTGTATAGAACATATGACAAAATATAATTTAGTTTTTGAGAATTAATTTCATAAAAGAATTTTTCATTCAAATCAATCCAATGTGCAAGAAAATGATAATTTAATGATTTTAAAGAAATCTGTTAAAAAAAAAAAAACACAGCTGAGTGTCCTTACCTTAGAGAAAAGACAAGAACACATTTAGACACATTAGGCAATGTCTCATAAAACTGATTTGAGCTTTTCATTTCTATTCAGAGAAAACTGTTACAAAAAGCACTCAGTGATAGCATGTTGTAAAAGCTGTAGTGCTACTCTATCTTGGAGCTAGTACTTATATAATCAAGAAGCCTATTCTAAGATAATAAGAGTAAGTACATAAATACTCATTAAATGCTAAATTAAAAAGCACCCTATTGAATACCTTATATGTATATCATCTTCTGTGTCTATCTTTCAAGGCAATTTGTCAGAACCTAGAGCTCTAGTTTGAGGTAGGAAATATGGGCAGAATTTTATTTAAAAAAAGCGGTGGTTCTTTTTAATTAAAATTTAACAGTAAACAGATAGAAAACCGAGTTTAAATGAAAGTTCTACCATGCAAGCTATCTGAGTCACCCTTAATCTGAGTCTTGAACTTCTTCATAAAACGGGAACATCTGTTGTATTATTTAATAGGCTTGTTCTGAAGACTTGGTTAAAATACCACGAAAGTAAAACAGAGAAGCACTGTAAAAATAATGTTTTATCATCATCATTAGTATCTTTACTTCCAGAAAAAGTAAAGATTTTCTGTTTTAAATTAAAACATTATTCTAATAGGCTCAGATAGGCTCAGTTCCAGTCACTGTGACCATTTGGGGAGTGAACCAGCAGATGGAAGACTTCTCTCTCTCTGTCCCTCTCTAACTCTGCCTTTCAAATAAATAAATCTTAAAAAAAAAAAAAAAAAAAGAAAAGAAAAGAAAGAATAAAAGTTGTATGGCTAAGTAGAGCTGAAATGAACAGTGACAACCCTAGCATGATAATTACATCAGATAAAATTAGCACGTTCTATTAAAAATATAAATATGTAAAATGGAATAAGCATAAGCTATGCTATCACACACTAGAAGAAACTTTAATTTTACTCTATAAACCAATTGATGAATACAGTATCAACAAACCTATTGTCACTTAAATTAATGACTTTTAATTTCTGCATATCACCCATCTCCTCTGGAAGTAGCTCAAGCTTATTAGAATGGAGAAACAACACAGTTACATTTTTCCAGTTTCCAATCTGAAAAAAAAAACAAAAAAACAAAAAAACACACACATAAATTTGGGGGTTACAAATTTGGACTTTAGGCTAATCAACAGATGATTAATGTCATTTTTAGAAAATATAAAAAGTAGGCTTCATGTTTATAAAAATAATAATGCTTTTCTTCCCCTCCTTAATGATTAATTTTCAAGTACAAAGGAAAGTACTTAATGTATCTTCTAAATTAACATAACCTGCTACACTCATATTCAGAAAAAAAGTAAATGAGTAAGAAAATTAATGAAATTACAGAAGATAGCTTATAATAAAGACACTTAGAAAAAAATGAAAGGACAAAATCCAAAACAAATTTAAAATATAATACCTCTGGTGGTAACTGTTGTAAGTAATTATGATCTGCAGCAAAAGTTCTTATGTTAGTAAGTTGTCCAATAGAGGAAGGCAAAGCTTCAACTTCATTGAAACTACAATCCAGTTCTTCTATTGATATTAACCTTTAATTTAAAAAGGAAATGGACATTACGAAAGAACTTTTCTTTATATAATCCAACATTTGAACTTGGCTAACAAACCTTAGTGAAACTTTACGGAGCTAAACTTAACCAAAAATAAACAGATTGAGGCCAGCACTGTGGTGTACAGGGTTAATACCACATTGGCATCCCATGTTGGAGTTTCGGTTTGAGTTCCAGGTGTTCTGCTTCCAAAACAGCTTCTGGCTAATGCACCTGAGAAGGCAGTGGCAGATGGTTCAAGTGCTTGGGCCACTGCCACCCATGTGGGAGACCAATATGGAGTTCCTGGTTGTTGGTTTCAGCCTAACCCTGCCCTTTGGCCATTTGGGGAGTAGACCAGCAGATGGAAGATATTTCTCTCAATCTCTTCCTCTGTCTCTGGCATCTTAAATTTATTTCCTTCAGAGATCATTTATGCAAATATCTGAATATATATAGTATGTTGAAATGAAAGTAAAATCTTCTGTGTATTCACAAAAAGCTTACCCTCCTATAGAGTCTGGTAAATACATTAATTGGTTTTCATCTATTTTAAGAGTTGTTACATTCTTCAGTGAACCTATTGAGAGAAGATATACAATTTTTAAGCTAAAATTAGAAGTCTACCAATAGTTAATGTGATATACATTACATTTGATGTATGAATTAGAAAGAAGTGTCCTAATTAACATACCTAGAAGAGACACTACCCCTACCCCATTCACTCTATTGTTCCTTAACCCTTTATTTTCAATTTACACCCACATCACCACTTAACACAGTACACTGCTATTAACCTCCACTAAAATGTGAGCTTCACAGAGTATGGAGTTTTGGTCTGTGTCATTCATTCCTGTAGCCCTGCTACAATGTATGGCACAGAGAATACACACAATACAAACTTGCTGAAATAATGGATTTTAAAAAATGAGTGGATGAAGGTAGTTTATATGGGTGTAAAACAAACTATTCTATATAGATGAGACACTAAAACAGTAAAATATATTTTAATCTAAAAAGCAAAAAGTATTGATTAAATCAGAACAGAGTAGAGTGCTGGTGGATTTGTAAAATGTACCTTAGCTAAAACAACTATGTAATTAAACAGAGAAATACATAAAAATATATTTTGGTGTTTGTTTAAAATATCATGAAGATGCCAAGAATGAAAATTTTGGTCTTTTCATCAAAATAATTCAGTTTTAGGAAGGGCATTTGGAACTAGTGGTTAAGATGCTGCGTAAGATGCTCATGTTGTCCACTGGAATATCTGGGTTCAATACCTGCCTCTGGCTCCTGACTGCACCTTCCTGCCTCGTAACAAGTATATAAAATTTGAGTTTACATGGAAGAAACTCTTCCATTTACTTCAGAAGGAATTACATGAATTTAAAGCAATACTAACCAATAGTCTCAGGCAGTTGTTGAAGTGAATTGCTTGATAATAGGAGGTCTTGAAGGTTTTCACATGCTGAAATTCCTTCTTCAACCATTTCAATATTGTTTTTAGAAACATCCAAATATGTGAGCTGTTTCAAACTACCAATAAACTATAAGTGAAAAAAGAAAATCTAATAACTCAATCAGTATTAAATAAGCTGTAAAAAGTTGAAGTATTCAACCTAGTATCAAGTTTTTATTCATAATTAAATGTTTACATTAGAAAGACGACTCACAAAATGTTTTTTAAATGCAAACCAAAAACAGATATAAAACTAAGAATCTCTATTAATTTCAGCCTAGCCTGTGACAAAGGATTGATCTACGGGAATTCAGCTGTTTATCTCCCTTAGGGATCTATGTGGGTATTTTAATTGGTTCTTTAGGTCTGGGAGCACACAATGTGTTAGTTGATAAAATAGAAAGCCTACGGGAAAACACCCCAAGTTTAACAATTCCTTGGGAAAACTTAATTAGGATATAAATTCAGTTGCTACCTCTGGAAATGACACACTCTCTAATTTAAAAAGAGACTACATGCGGAAGTCATTGTGGCACAGTGAGTTAAGTGACAGCTTAGGATATCTATATCCCATATCAGAGTGCCTGATTCTAGTCTGGCTATTCCACGCTTACAATCCAGCTTCCTGCTAATGTCCCCAAGAGGCAGCAGATAATGGCCCAAGTACTTGGGTTCCTGCTACCCATACGGGAAATCCAAATGGAGTTCTTAGTTCCTGGCTTTGACCTGGCCTAGCTGTAGTGGTTGTGAACATCTGGGGAGTGGATTAGTGGAAAAAAACGTATCTCTCTCTGTCTCTGTCACTCTGCCTTTCAAATACATAAATTTTTTTTTTTTTTTAAAAGAGACATTATTTTAGGCTGAGCATCTGGACACAGTAGGTAAAGCCACTGCTTAGGATGCCCACACTCAGTACTGGCGTGCAGGTCAAGTCCTGGCTACTCCACTTGTGATCCAGCCTCCTGCTAATATGACTGGGAGGCAGCAGGTGATGGTTCAAACACAAGGGTCCCTGCCACCCACATGGGAAATCCAGAGTTCTGTGTTGTTGTGGGCATCTGGAGAATGAACCAGCAGATGAAGATCTCTGTCTCTTTCTTTCCCTCTTTCTCTTTCTCTGTCACTCTGCTTCTCAAATGAAATAAAATTAAAATTAAGAGACTATCTCACACAAATGTTTCTAATGAGAATTTTGAATTTTAATAAAAAGTGTTGTTTTTAAAAAAGTGTAATTTGTTTCTACTTGAGGAATTTACAATTTTTTTCACTAAAAATAATTTTTAAATACACAATTTGAAAAACTTCAAAGGAGTGACAGCAATAAGTGAAGCCATTAAAACTTTCACACACATACCCCTGGAATAAAAGTCAGTCTATTACCATCCATCCAAAATTCTTTCAATCCACTTAGCTGCTCAAGTACTTCAGGCTGTTTGGGTAAGAAGGGGAGAAATCAAATTAATTTACATGAATTGGGAAGCAGGCTACACAGCAGACTCATAGAATGACAAATGTCCTAAACAGCACTGGCCTCAGAATCGGCTCTTAAGTGATTCGGATCTGGCTAAAAAGCCCATGAGAGCATTTCAGGCACAGAAAGCCAAGACACTGTGGCAAAAAATGACCTACATGAAAGATCTCTGTGAGTGAGATCCAGTGGAAAGAAGGGGCCATCAAAGAAGGAGGTACCTTTCTCTGAAAGGAGGAGAGAACTTGCATTTTGATTATGGCCAGTCTAAATAATGTTGGAGTCTGTGGACTCAAAAGGCTTCCATAGCCATGGTAGCTCATGACAAGAGCCTCAGGTGATCATGAACATCATAAATAAGAGTGTCAACTGTTAAATCAACGACAGGAATCACTGTGCACTTGCTCCCCATGTAGGACTTCTGTTCTTAATGAGCTGTACTAAAAGAATTAACAGTAAAACTAGTCTTCAAACAGTATTTTATACTTTGTGTGTCTGTGTGGATGCAAACTGTTGAAATCTTTACTTAGTATAGAGTTGATCTTCTTAATGAAGAGCGCGATATGCGAGGGAGTAGGAGGTGGGACAGGAGTGGGAGTGGGAGGGTGATTATGGGGGAAGAACCACTATAATCCAAAAGCCGTACCTCTGAAATTTATATTTATCAAATAAAAGCTTTCTAAAAAAATTTACATGAATGTCTTTATCTGGCAAAAGAAGCCCTGAAAATTTCTAATAATCTTTGGTTTCAATAGATTGAATAAATGAGGGTAGGGTAGAAGCAAAGCCAGGATGTGAGCCTTTCCATTGCACTATAATTACTATAACAGCATTAAGGCAGGAAACAAAAATAGGCATTTCATAAAAGTAGATTACATAAAACTCACATAAGCTTTGAATTAAACCACACGGTCAAGTATTTACACAATAATAATAAAAAAAGCAAGTCTCACACTTGGAGCATACCAAAAAGATTCATTATCCAAACAGATGCAGCCTTTTAGGAAATATCAGGAAAACAAATAACAAAGACATTTCCTGGTGACATTAATAAAGAGGAAAATAGGGACCGGCACCATGGCATAGAAGGTTAAGCCTCGTCCTGTAGTGTCAGCACTCCATATGGGCGCTGGTTCAAGTCTTAGCTGCTCCACTTCGGATCCAGCTCCCTGCTAATGCACCTGAAAAAGCAGTGGAAGATGGCCCAAATACTTGAACCCCTGCACCAAGTGGGAGACCTGGAAGAAGCTCCCAGCTCCTGGCTTTGGCTTGGTTGGCCCACCCATGGCTCTTGCAGCCATTTGGGGAGTGAACCAGCAGATGAACACCTCTCTCTCTTTGTCTCTCCGAACTGCCTTTCAAATAAATAAAATACTTTTTTAAAAATAAATAAAGAGAAAAATAAAAGCCACATATATCCAAAATGTCCGATCACAGAAAAAGGTAGATAAATAAAGGCATAACCACATAAGAATATTCTGCTACTTAAACAAGCAGTAAAATTTTCCAATTACATGTCAGAAAACTCTTTATAATACCTAAAAATTAATTCAAGTGTTAAGGTAAATGTTGGTATTCAGGTAAAATTTGTCCTTGTACATTGGCCCTTCCAGGCTGAAGATTCAAATGCCTCCTTCAAGGTTATTTCTGCCACACCACAGAGCCATGTGCAATCAATAATCATGTGATGGCTTAGACTACCATTATACTTAATCTTCATAGTAACATGAGTCATACGTAAGAGGCATGTCATTCGATTATTGCCAATGCATAAATATAGGTAAGAATTCTAGAAGTAACTTGGATTAAAAGAAAATTCCTTTCGTGCTTTGTTGTACTTCTATCATAAGTTTTTAAAAAATGTTTAATTTTATAAAACCAAGATGGTATAAAAATTAAGACTCTGAAAGCTTACTAGGTTTATAAAATTAATATTTACTGAGAATTTTCACACAGTTAACATGAAACAGAATAATATATAAAAACCCAAATATTTAGAAATGATACAATAAGTAATAAAAATAATATATTTTAAAGATTTATTTATTTGAGGGGTAGAGTAATAGACAGTGAGAGGGAGACAGAGAGAAAGGTCTTCCTTCCTTTGGTTCACTCCCCAAATGGCTGCAACAGCCAGAGCTGCACGGATCGGAAAGGAGCCAGGAGCTTCTTCCAAGTCTCCCACATGGGTGCAGGGGCCCAAGGACTTGGGCCATTTTCTACTGCTATCCCAGACCACAGCAGAGAGCTGGATTGGAAGAGGGGCAGCCAGGACTAGAACTAGCACCCATATGGGATGCTGGTGCTGCAGGCAGAAGATTAACCCACTGTGCCACCGCACTTGTCTCAAAAATATATTTTTTCACATGGAATAGAACTTCCCAAACAGAATAAAATCCACCAGCTTGATGAATTCTTCTTCAGAAACAATTTCCAAAAACATTGCTTACATACTCCTATCCTTATAGTTCAGTCTCATAGCGCACTTAGCATACAAAACACAAACACAGCAAGAGGTCTCATTACCAATTCAAAAAAGTATACTTTCTCAAAATTTTAAGAGAAATATTAGAGGTCTTAAAAAGCTTGTACAAAATGAGATTATGAAGAAAATCATGCATGGATTTCAAAAATCTAAAAGCCAAAATAAACTTATTTTTGAATTCCTTTTTCCATGAACTTTCTGAAGTGCCCTCACACCACAATGTTCACATTTTCCTCAATCAAATGTAAGATTTACAGAAATAGGGGCCTGTGCTTTGTCACAGTAGATTAAAGTCCCGGCCTGCATCACCAGCATCCCATATGGGTGTTAGTTCAAGTCCTGGCCATTCCACTTCCAATTTAGCTCCCTGCTAAAGAGCCTGGCAAAGCAACAGAGGATGGCCAAATGTGTGGGCCTCTGCACACATGCAGGGTACCCAGAGGAGGATCCTGCCTCTTGGCTTCAGGATCAGCACAGTTCCAGACGCTGCGGTCATCTGGGGAGTGGACCAGCGGATGGAAGACTTTTCTCTGTCTCTACCTCTCTCTAACTCTTTCAAATAAATGAAATAACTCTTTAAAAGAAAAAAAAAAAAAAAAAAGGATTTACAGAAACTGAGACTGTGACAACTTACCACTTCTGTGAATTCATTACTTCCCAAATCCAGTCTTTCCAGCTGGGTCAATCTATTCATAGTCCTATTCACAATGCAGCAAAATCAAAAATTAAATATGCAGTAATATCAATTACATGGAAGCTTTCAAATTTTATAATTTAAAACATTCTTAGGTAATGTGTAATATATTATATATAGGCTTTCACATGTAAAGTTAAAAAGTAAAAATGTTAATTTTCTAAGAAAAATATGAATTACACAATTTGGAAGACACATAGTAATTACTATCATAATTCCAAAAAGTGTTTTTCAGGACTGTTAGCTCATGTATTTATAAAACTCCAAAATAACGATAACTCTGAAAATTAGTTTCAAAATGATGAAGAACAGTAAAGGTAACTTTGCTCTCCATATGTTCAAATTACAACTCAAATACAATTCAAAAGAAACTTTTATAAGAATTACAAATATAAACAAATGTTATTTAATTTAAATTAAAGCAATTAACACCATTTTGAACTTCTAACAATATCAATACTTCTCTGTAATTACAGGAACTTTAAAAACATAGGAAAAAAGGCACATTTGGAAACTAACTGCTAATTAATTCAAACATTTATAATCAAATTTTAAGAAACATTAATTAATACACTGAGATTCTACCAACTACAAAATAAGAAACTATTAACAAATTATTTGGGTATGACAAAAACAGGAAAATATAATTATACTGTTAGTGTATTAATACATTCATACTTTGGAAATCAACATCATTTAAATCCAGACATGGGGCCAGCACTGTGGTGCAGCAGGTTAACACCCTGGCCTGAAGCGCCGGAATCCCATATGGGCGCTGGTTCTAGTCCCAGCTGCTCCTCTTCCAATCCAGCTCTCTGCTATAGCCTGGGATAGCAGTAGACAATGGCCCAAGTCCTTGGGCCCCTGCACCCACGTGCGAGACCTGGAAGAAACTCCTGGCTCCTGGCTTCGGATTGGCATAGCTCCAGCCATTGCAGCCATCTGGGGAGTGAACCAGTGGATGAAAGACCTCTTTCTGTCTCTACCTCTCTGTAAAAATAAACCTTATTTATTTACTTATTTATTTGAGAGGTAGAGTTACAGACAGTGAGAGGGAGAGACAGAGAGAAAGGTCTTCCTTCATTTGGTTCACTCCCCAAATGGCCACAACGGCTGCAGCTGCATTGATCCGAAGCCAGGAGCCAGGAGCCAGGAGCTTCTTCCAGGTCTCCCACGCAGGTGCAGGGGCCCAAGCACTTGGGCCATCTTCTGCTTTCCCAGGCCAGAGCAGAGAGCTGGATTGGAAGTGGAGCAGCTGGGACTAGAACCAGTGCCCACATGGGATGCCAGTGCCGCAGGCAGAGGATTAACTATGACACAGCGCCGGCCCCTAAAATAAATCTTTAAAAAAAAATCCACAGACACCATAAATGATTGCAAAAGAACACAGACTTTCTATCTTCTTGAAAATGTAACAAAAATTTATGAGTAAAACAAAACTCAGCTGGGGTCAGCACCGTGGCATAGCAGGTAAAGCCACCACCTGCAGTGCTGGCATCCCCTACTGGGTGCCAGTTCGAGTTCTGGCTGCTTCACTTCTGATCCAGCTCCCTGCTAATGCACCTGGGAAAATAGTGGAACATGGTCCTAGTCCTTGGGCCCCTGCACCCACGTGGGAGACCAGAATGAAGCTCATGCCTCCTGGCTTCAGAAAGACCCAGTTCTGGCCACTGTGGCTATTTGAGGAGTGAACCAGTAGATGGAAGCTCTCACTTGCTCGCTCTCTCTCTACCTCTGCCTCTCTCTAACTCTTTCAAATAAATCAATAAATCTTTAAAAATATAAATAAAACTCAGCTACAACACTTGTCCAGCTTGTTAATAAAAGAAATTCAGAAGACACCATAATTGTAACAATACTATGTTGTTTGTTTAAATTAGAAGCAGCTAATTTTTCTCAATCCTTACATTTAAAATATGCCATTTTATTACCATTCCTTCAACAGAATCCATCACAAAATGCCAATTTTTCTCAAAGCTTTGATACAGATTGAGTACCCATTCTTACTACTATATTTCTAATGTCCCTTACTGATATCTCTGTCCAGAAAAGTTGGAAGCTCTATCTTCTTCATAGCAAAGCAAAAAGTATTTTCAGAATCTTTCTCCAGATGTAAAAAGATATATTCTATGAAAATAAGCTCTTATATTAAATAAAGAGGGCAGTGGGGACAGGGGGGATTGAAAGGGCAAAACATAATCTTACATTTCTTGCTTCAATAGTATCAGAATAACAAGACAGTAAGTTTTAGAAAAGTGCAAAAATAAAAAGCAGTGCATTAGAAAAATTCAATTACAGACAATGTCCCAGAAACATGTTTTTAAACAGATTCAGGAAAATATGCACAAAACACGTAAGTAATAAAAAAGAGAAACTCTGACAATACTGTAACATCAGAAAGTATCTCTACCTCAACTCTCTGCAGCTATTATCAGCTACTTTGGTTCCACTCATACATTTCAGAAATTTAAGAATTTCATCTTAAAAGAAAATTCAGCTTCCTAATTCAAAGAGAAAACAGAATCAATGTCCTTCAAATTTCCACCCATCTACCTCTAGAATCCATTTGTAGATAATTTATTTTACCTTTTGTCCTGTCTTATGGGAAGAGTACAACATCTTTTGTGTTCTTGGTACTATGCCCACCAGCATTTTCCCCCCCAAGATTTGTTTATTAAAAGGTAGACGGACAGAGATCTTTCATACACTGGTTCACTTCCCAGATGGCAGCTGTTCTTGAAATGGCACTATCTCAAGCCCCAGATGCATATTAGTAACTTTGCATAGTAAGTTCGGCCTCTCCAGGACTCAGCCTGGCTTACTAGGGGTCAGGTGACCAAATGGCCCAACCACGAGCATCAGCTCCACCCTTACCCTAATGGGATTCCTTGCTCCCATTTCCTTACCCCCTCAAGGTTGTACCAGAACCTGCTTCCCACGCACAGGCTCTCCTGACCTCTCTCTCTTCCTCTTCCTTTTTGCCCTCTCTCGCCCTTGGCGTCCAGCCTGTTGGGTTTCCCCCCACCCAGCAATAATCTTTAACTCTGGTGTTTGGTGTGTTTTGTGTTGGCCTTTCAGCAGCAACAGCCAGTACTGGACCAGGCCAAGGCCAAAGCCTGGAATTCCATATGGGTTTCCTACCAGTGGCAGGGGCCCAAGTTCTTGGGCCACCTTCCATTGCTTTCCCAGGTGCAGGAGCTATATAGAAGAGGAGCAGCCAGGATTCAAATTGCGACTCCAATATGCGATGGTGGCATCCAGGTAGTGACTTGACCTGATGTATCACAATGCCAGCCCCTTGCCATTGTTGTTCCCCCCCACCCCCCAAGATTCATGTTCTTATTTGAAGGGTAGAGTTACAGAGAGAGGAGGGACAGAGACAGTTCTTCCATCTAATGGTTCACTCCACAAACGGCTACGATGGCTGGGGCTGGGGCTAGACCAGGCTGAAGTCAGGACCTAGAACTCCATCTTGGTCTCCCACACGTGTGACAGGGGCCCAATCACTTGGACCATCATCTGCTGCTTTCCCAGGTGCATTAGCACAGAGCTGGATTGGAAGTAGAGTGGCAAGGGCTTGAATTGGTGCCCATATGGGACAATAGCATCACAGCATCACAGGTGGAGACTTAGCCTGCATTGACAATGCCAGTCCCAGGCCATTAAGGGCCTAATTACTCCATTTCTAATTTACAATAGATTAGAATGCCTGACAATCTAGTTATCAGGCTTCACTCAAAGACCCTATGAATTGCTCTAATGAGTAGTATGTATGAGTTCTAGCATGCGAATTTGGGATCTCTATTTGGGACTCAGGTGGGCTTCACATACTTTTGTTAGAGAAAAGAATATGTAACTGAGAGCTGTAAAAATCACTACTAATTAACAACAGTACCATGTTAAACAACCACAGACACATCTGTTTTTTATATTTAACATTAATCATAATTAAATGACCAAATGTGCTAGTCTTTAAAAATAACTGGTGGTAAAATTTACTCACTTAGGCAACATTTTCAACTGGTTTTCTCTGAGTTCTAATATCTGGAGTTTAGTTAATCTGCAAAATAAAAAACAAATAAGTATCTAATGACAAAGAAAAGGAATTAACAAATTAAAAATCACAATCTAAAGCTCTCTGATATAGCGTATTATGTGCAGACTAATTAAAAATTACAGAGGAACACAAAAAAGCACAAAGGAAGAACAGATTTGTGCTCCTCACAGTTATGGTGGAAAAATTAGGTAAGTACTACTAGATATCTTCAAAGGGACAAAGTAACTATCCCTAAATACCAATCCTGAAGCATTTCATGCTTTTTACTTAGAATATCTACAAAAATTGCTAAGCACTGGTGAATTAGACATTAATAATTCAATTCTAGAGTGCAGTTCTGAGAGAAAAAGGGAACATCAAGGAGGAAGAAAAATTCTCTGGCACTTCTGTGATACACACCCTCCTAAAAAGTAAGGAAAAAGGATTAAGTGTTGCAAACACCAGAAACAAAAGAGGAATCTAACCAAGTACCCCAGTTATTTTTACACAAAATATAAAATCAACATACATAGGATAGCACTTCATCTAGTCATTAAATTCAATGATAACCTGACACCTATTCACTGGTTTAAAAAAATTATTCAGGGACTTAGGGAATTGAGGTAGATTACAGAAACAATTTCTCTTAAGAATTTTCATACTAGTGGAGTAGACAGATAAACAGTTTTAAAATGATTTTACAATGAGATAAATGCTAAGAAAATAGCATTCAATATTGCAATTTTACAGAAATTACAACCTTTTTTCTAACCTTAAAAAATCTTTTTAAATCTAAAAATCTCATGCTATTGTTTACTTCTGAAAATAAATTTCTACTCAAAATCACAAGATCCAAAAATATTGTAGAAATCACAGTACTTAGAAATAATTATAGAAGAGCTTATGAAATTTTAATTAATAGTATTACTAAAAAGTTTATAGGTTTGTAAACTTTATAAGAACCAACTCAATAGTTTTAGAAGGAACTGTAGTTTACCTGCCAAAATTAGCTGGCAAGAACTCAAGGAAAGCATCATTCAAATACAACTGGGTTAGGTTTAACAGCTGAGAAAATCCATCAGGGAGCCTATATAAAATATACAAAAATTTAAATTAGGAGTAGTATTTTCAAGTATCACTTTATATGTTTACTATGGATTTTAACAAGTATAAAAATCCTCATGCAGGCCAGCGCCGTGGCTCACATGGCTAATCTTTCGCCTGCCCGCCAGCACCCCAGGTTCTAGTCCCAGTTGGGGCGCTGGATTTTGTTCTGGTTGCTCCTCTTCCAGTCAAGCTCTCTGCTGTGGCCCGGGAGTGCAGTGGAGGATGGCCCAAGCGCTTGGGCCCTGCACCCACGTGGGAGACCAGGAGGAAGCACCTGGCTCCTGGCCTCGGATCGGCCGGCTGCAGCGCGCCAACCATGGCAGTGATTTAGGGGGTGAACCAACGGAAAGGAAAACCTGTCTCTCCCTCTCACTGTCTAAATCTGTCTGTCCAAAAAAAAAAAAAAAAAACAAACCTCATGCAGTAAGATATATCAGACTTTGACTTATTTATTCCTCTATTTTCACACTGCTCATCTTCCACTTGGTCCAAGTGATACCACTCTGGAAATACTGTATTAACATATGAAAGTTGGGTTGAATATTCAACTCAGCTATGCTTCATTTTGTTCATTTTTTATTACTATTTCATTTCTGCAAAATTTACTAGCTTTGGTGCCAAGAAAATTTTCTATTTATAACCATCAGCATCATAAAAGAACACACATAACTTGTGGGCTATGATAAATCAATCATATGTTTTTGTTTTCATTTTCCCCCTTCTCTTTTGTTGTTTTGCCTTCTTGATCCTTCCATTTCTTTTATGGTTTTCAAAAATTTGAATGGGTCATAAATCTGATTCAAAGGCAAAGACATTCTTATATTGTGCAAGTAACTCTAGGTGAGGAAACCCGTATTCTAGTCTCATTTCTGACATTACCTATCTGTAACAATTAGACCAAAACTACATGCATTATCTCTTTTGGATTTTAATTTTATGTTTGTAATATATGAGGTCAGAGAGATTACTTATAAAGTTTCCTTTTATTCACTAAAATGGAAATTCTATATGAATTTAGAATTGGTAGACAATTTTCATTAAAATATTTTAAGAGATAGTTCCCTGTTGTTTTCTAATTGTGATAATCACAAAAATAACCTATTCAAAAGAGAAGAACTTACTTGGAAATAGGGTTTACACTGGCCTCCACAACTGTCAAAACCTTACAATTTTTTATGTTTTCTGGAAACTCTTGTATTCCTAGAAAACAAACAATGCTCAAATTAAAAGACTATTACAAAGGCCAAAATAATAACAATAATTTATACATTAGATATGCAAGTAAACTGCAATTAAGCAGGAATTAAATAATAACACCAGTGCCAATCCAACAGAAACACCATGACAATTTCTCTTTCACCTTTTCTTCATTTGCCTCTTCATAACTGCTGTTTACTTTACCTTTCCTTCTCCTAGTTCTTCTGAAAACAAGAGCTTTATGTGATGATGTTAAGAACACAAAATGCAGAACATTTAATATTCTGTTTCTCTCACATAAAAACAAGAATTTATTTTCAATGCCACCCTCCTGATTGAGCTGGTCCCTCCCTCCCTCCCTCTCCCTTCCTCTCTCTCTATATATAAACTAACATAGTTGAAAACAAAGCTGCAGAGAAAAGCTGTGGAAAAATCTGTATCAATAATGTTCCTTTGTTATACATTCTTTTTAAAAGACAACTCTGAGGTTTACAATAAAAATGAAGCTCCCACAAAATATGTGCATCTTCTTCATATCACTCTTATTTAACTACAAAAGAACTCTTTATTTCTGACACTTAGGAGCTAGTCTGTTGTTATCAACTAGTCTTCCTTCTTTTTTTTTTTTAAAGAATTATTTATTTTTTAATTTTTTGACAGGCAGAGTGGACAGTGAGAGAGAGAGAGACAGAGAGAAAGGTCTTCCTTTGCCGTTGGTTCACTCTCCAATTGCCACTGTGACCGGCATGCTGCGGCCAGCCCACCGTGCTGATCCGATGGCAGGAGCCAGGTACTTCTCCTGGTCTCCCATGGGGTGCAGGGCCCAAACACTTGGGCCATCCTCCACCGCACTCCTGGGCCACAGCAGAGAGCTGGCCTGGAAGAAGGGCAACCGGGACAGAATCCGGCACCCCGACCGGGACTAGAACCCGGTGTGCCGGCGCCGCAAGGAGGAGGATTAGCCTAGTAAGCCGCGGCGCCGGCCTAGTCTTCCTTCTTAATACAATCAGCCCTTGCATTCAAATACAGCCTTGGTGTTTTCCTCTTACACTAAACTATTTCCTGGAAACAACAGTGTCAGACTAGGCCATGACACATCAAGGTAAAAAAACAAATCTATAATCTCAACTGAACAAAGATAAAACATGCTCACTGTCCAAAACAAAAAAAAATGCAAATTTTCCCTGTCATGGCTAGTAAATGACTGCTCATATTATTAATGAATATAGCTTTTGGCCTTGTTCTAACCTGCCCTCATAATAGATAAGATTCTGTCCCGGTTGCCCTTCTTCCAGGTCAGCTCTCTGCTGTGGCCCAGGAGTGCAGTGGAGGATGGCCCAAGTGCTTGGGCCCTGCACCCCATGGGAGACCAGGAGAAGTACCTGGCTCCTGCCATCGGATCAGCGCGGTGTGCCGGCCGCAGCACGCCAGCCGCAGCGGCCACTGGAGGGTGAACCAACGGCAAAGGAAGACCTTTGTCTCTCTCTCTCTGTCCACTCCGCCTGTCAAAAAAAAAAAAAGGGGGGGGGCATCCCAAGTAGTATATTAATGACAGTGCTAAAGGCCCACCCCTAGAGATTTTAGTATAGTTTTAAGATTTATCTTACTTGACAGAGAGACAGAGAAAGGGGGACACAGACACACAGACAACACACACAGTCACTTTTTTCTGATATAGGTATAGCTACTCTACTTGCTTTTGGTTTCTGTTCACATAGAAAATTTTTTTTTATCATTTCATTTTCAGTCTACATGTATCTTTCTTTTTTGACAGGCAGAGTGGACAGTGAGAGAGAGACAGAGAAAGAAAGGTCTTCCTTTTGAAGTTGGTTCACCCTCCAATGGCTGCTGCGGCCAGCGCACCGCGCTGATCCAAAGCCAGGAGCCAGGTACTTCTCCTGGTCTCCCATGCGGTGCAGGGCCCAAGCACTTGGGCCATCCTCCACTGCACTCCCTGGCCACAGTTGAGAGCTGGCCTGGAAGAGGAACAACCGGGACAGAATCCGGCGCCCCGACCGGGACTAGAACCCAGAGTGCCGGCACCGCAGGCAGAGGATTAGCCTGTTGAGCTGCGGCGCCGGCGGTTTACATGTATCTTTAAAGGTGAAGTAGATTTCCACTAGGCAGCATGCACTTTTTGTTTTTCCCCCCAATTCCTCCTGTTTGCATGTTTTAATTAGGGAGTTTAGTCTACTTACATTACAAGTAAGCATTACTGATAAGCAACGACTTAGTCTTGTCATTTAAATAAATTTCTTCCATTTATTTTGAATATTTGTTAAAAACACCAAAGAACTCTACAAAAGATCACTTTGACAATCTAAAGTCACAATTTTCAACCAAGTGCTTTTATGTAACCACAGCTTGCTGAAACTATTAATAAGAAAGTATGCCACATTATTTCCCTGCCTCTTTCCAAAGAAGGCATAACAGCTGATGAACCTGAAAAGTGTAACTGGAAGATATATTAAGTATCTGTTAAAATGCATTCAGTATCATTAGACTGCAACGATACAAACACCTAAAAGGAAAAAACACTTATGCAAGATTTCATATCAGATACTACATTAGAGAAAAAATTAAAGGGTACTAATCTTCCTTTTAAGTGATTTACTACCTAATCAAAAATGCAAGTATCAAAATTAAAATTTCTTACAAGAAGCCACATCAACCTAATAGGCATGCTATATTATTGTTTTCAATAAAGTAGACTTACATAGGCATATACACATTCAGCTTAAATATCACCAGCTGATTAAAATAACCTCCGTTCTCTAGTAAAATGGGTTCATTATATCACTTATAATGATGACTATAAGATGAGGAATGAGGGGCTGGCATTGTGGCATAGTGGGCAGTCACAGCCTTCAATGCTGGCATCCCATATGGGTGTTGGTTCATGTCCTGGCTGCTCCACTGTTAATGGCCTAAGAAAAGTAACAGAAGATGACCCAAGTGTTTGGTTCCCTGCTACCCACATAGGAGACCTGGAAGAAGCTCCTGGCTCCTTCCATTGTGGCTATCTAGGGAATGAATTAGCAGAAGGAAGCCCACTTTTGTCTCTCCTCTCTCTGTTAACTCTTTAAAAATAAAAAATAAAAAAAAATCCTTAAAAAAAAAAAGATAAGGAATTATAGTTGCTGGAACTTACATTAGGCAAGGTAACAGTCCTGACACTATTATAGTGTCTTATCTCTCCTTAGCTAGCTTTGTTCACCAACAAAAAAATAGTTTTATTTAGACACAGTTCAAGAACAAAAGGGAAAAAAACCACAAGAAACAAAAACAAAGGGACTGGCCAGCGTCACAGCTCACTTGGCTAATCCTCTGCCTGCGGCGCCGGCACCCCTGGTTCTAATCCTGGTTGGGGCGCCGGTTCTAGTCCCAGTTGTTCCTCTTCCAGTCCCGCTCTCTGCTGTGGCCCAGGAGTGCAGTGGAGGATGGCCCAAGTGCTTGGGCCCTACACCCACAAGGGAGACCAGGAGGAAGCACCTGGCTCCTAGCTTTAGATCAGCGCAGCGCACCAGCCTGCACCAGCCTGCACCAGCTGTAGCAGCCATTTGGGGGGTGAACCAATGGAAGGAAGACCTTTCTCTCTGTATCGCTAACTCTGCTTGTCCAAAAAAAAAAGACTGATTTCTGCAACATAAAGAATAGATAAGGTCGTTTCTATGTGAGCAATCATAGAAAGAAAGGAACATATCAATTTAACTTTTAGTTACAATATGTTTTAAGATTTTACTGGCAGAAATAAATAATGTCATTTCTCCAGGCAGAATAATTACATACTTATTCTAAATCTTTTCATCTCATTAAAAATATCTCCAACTCCTCATAAATATTCACATGGAACTATTATTAATAAAATCCAAAAAAATTATTCAAATAAAAATCATTTAAAGCAGGTCTTTGATATAAGCAATAAGGAACTCCTGAAATAGATGATATGGTCTAGTAAGCTGTCATAACTGTAAAATAGGTAATTCTTTAAGAGTATATGAAGAAGGGCCAGTGATGCGTGGGGGGTTAAACTATTGCCTGCAATGCTGGTATTCCAAATGAGTGTGTGTTCAAGTACTGGTTGTTCCACTTCCGTTCCAGCTCCCTGCAAATATGCCTGGGAAAGCAGTGGAAAATGGTCCAAGTGCTTGGGCCCCTGCTACCCATGTGGAAGACATGGTTGGAGTTCCAGGCTCCTGGTGGCTTTGGCCTGGCTCAGCCCCAGCTGATGCAGCCATTTGGGGAGTGAACCAGCAGACAGAATACATTCTCTCTCTCTCTCTAACTCTGCCTTTCAAATAAGTAAATCTTCTTTTAAAATAGTACATGAAAGTCTGAAATATTAATTTAATGAAAGTAGAGAGCCATAACACCACTATTATCTTAAAGCAGTAAGCCTATAGTACAAGCATTTTCAGGGGGAGATATCTGAAATAATTTATTACTGAGAAAAGCAATATATTTATACAATCAAGACCAGTAACAAAATGTATTAGGTACAAACAATTCCAGATGCATGAGATTTTATTAGTAATACTCACATTATCTCAAGTCTCTTTCCTTAAAATGGTAACTTCTCCCATTTTAAAAGGCCAAAAAGTAAATATAGACAACTCTTTGGGATGGAAGAATAGACTAGTTGACTTTTAAAGTCACAAAAAATTCTAAAATTTTTTAATGCTTTAGAGTAACTTATCTATCAGCATATGGTAGCAAATTAAATTCATTTAATTTTCAACTTCAATCAAGCAAAAACTGGCACTATACTAGGCACTAGGGACAGAAATAAATTCTTCATAAGGAGAAGTTTTACATGGTGGGCACTTACTTAATCTTGAGTGAAATCATACGGGAAAAAGTCATAAAAATCAAACACCAACTGATCTCAACTCTTAAACAATGGCAATGGGGAACAGGTATTTGGCTCAGTGGTCAAGAGCCACCTGGAGGGCCACACTGTGGCACAGTGAGTTAAGCTGCAGCTCGTGAAACTGGCCTCCCAT